TCCATCCATCCATCCATCCATCCACCCATCCACCCATCCATCTATCCATCCATCCACCCATCCATCCATCCATCCACCCATCCATCCACCCATCCATCCATCCACCCACCCATCCATCCATCCACCCCTCCATCCATCCACCCATCCATCTATCCATCCACCCATCCATCTATCCATCCACCCATCCATCCATCCATCCACCCATCCATCCATCCATCCATCCATACACCCATCCATCCATCCACTCACCCATCCACCCATCCACCCATCCATCCATCTTTCCACTCACTCACCCATCCATCCACCCATCCATCCATCCACCCACACATCCATACATCCATCCATCCACCCACCCATCCATCCACCCATCCATCCACCCATTCTTCCATCTACTCATCCATCCACCCATCCATCCACCCATCCATCCATCCATCCATCCACCCACCCATCCATCCACCCATCCATCCACCCATTCTTCCATCTACTCATCCATCCACCCATCCATCCACCCATCCATCCATCCATCCATCCACCCACCCATCCATCCACCCATCCATCCACCCATTCTTCCATCTACTCATCCATCCACCCGCCGATCAACTCACCCATCCATCCATCCACCCATCCACCCATCCATCCATCCACCCATCCATCCATTCATGCATCCATCCATCCACCCACCCATCCATCCATCCACTCACCCATCCATCTACCCATCCATCCATCCACCCATCCATCCATCCACCCACCCATCCATCCATCCACCCATCCATCCACCCATCATTCGCACACCTAACCATGGCTTCCTTGTTCTAGTGTGACCGTCGCCCTGGGACCCCGGATCTTCCTGTGAGTCCTCCCCTCCCCTCTTCCCCGTCCAATATGTCGGCCCCTGAGTCTCGAACTCACTCCCGGCCCTTCCGGAGCTTTCTGTTCTCCCCTTCCTGTGGTCTTTGACTGCTTGGTCCACGTCCCGTTCCCCTCCATCGTGGTGTTGGTGTGTTGCTGGGTTGCTGGGTGATCTCTTGTGACTCAGTTTCCCCTCTTTGTTTTCATCACCCAGATCGAAGTTTCTGGAACCTTCTCCAACGCTTACACCCTGCCCAGCCCGGAGCCCCGGCCCTGTCAGGTCTTACGCGTCCGGGCCGGGGATGTCCGGGTGGGCAGCTGGGGGGTCTGGAGTCGACCCTTGGAGTTTGGTGCGTTGAGTGGATGGCAAAAGACATGATGGCAGTCCTGGTTCGGGTGGTCGAGCGCCTTGTGGCCTAGGAGGGTTCTCCGAGCCCTCAGGGCCTGGGTGCTGGGTGGGTGATTCCATGCTTCAGTTTACCCTCTGGGATTTCCTAGCTCCTCTGGGAAGGGGAAGGAAGTTCGGGGGTGGGTGGTGCCTCAGTTTCCCCTCCTGTGTCCCCCCTTCCTCAGGGTCAGAGGTCACACCGGCTCCCCGCCTGGGCCAGGTCGTGACCCCACTGCTAGCCGGCCTGGGGTCACTGCTGTGTGCGTTGGGCCTGGGCTGGGCCTGCGGGAGGTGAGGGCTGGATTTGAACCCGTGACCCTGGGGGGGGGTGGGGCGGGGGGAGAAATCGAACCCAAGGGAAGAGGTTGGAAATCCCAGAGGGGAAACTGAGGCACGGACGCTCCTTCCTCCTCCTCCTCCTCCTCCCCACAGGCTCCTCCACTGGGCTGGGCTGTGCGGCCCTGTCCCCCGAATCCGGGACAAGATCAGCGACCACGCCCCACACCAGGTGGGTACAGACGGACAGAGAGACAGACAGACAGACACAGACAGACAGACACAGACAGACAGACACAGACAGACAGACACAGACACAGACAGACACAGACACAGACAGACAGAGACAGAGAGAGACAGACAGAGACAGACAGACAGACAAATGGACAGACAGAGAGACAGACAGACAGAGAGACAGACAGACAGAGAGACAGACAGACAGAGACAGACAGACACAGACAGAGACAGACAGAGACAGACAGACAAACGGACAGACAGAGAGACAGACAGACAGAGACAGACAGACAGAGATAGACACAGACAGAGAGACAGAGACACAGACAGAAAGACAGACACAGACAGACACAGACAGACAGACACAGACAGACAGACACAGACAGACAGACACAGACAGACAGACAGACAGAGACAAGAGACAGACAGAGAGGAGTCGGACAGACAGACAGACACAGAGACAGAGATACAGACAGACACGGACAGACACACGGGTAAACTGAGACAGACAGACAAACTCACAGACAGACAGACAGACACACGGACAGAGACTCGGACAGACAGACAGGCTCATGGATAGACTCAGACAGACAGACAGACAGACATCAAGACAGAGAGACAGAGGGACACATGTATAGGGTGAGACAGACAGACAAACAGACACAGACAGACACAGACACAGACAGACAGACACAGACAGACACAGACACAGACAGACACAGACAGACAGACACAGACAGAGACAGACAGACAGAGACAGACAGACAGACAGACAGACACAGACACAGACAGACACAGACAGACACAGACAGACAGACAGACACAGACAGACACAGACACAGACAGACAGACACAGATAGACAGACAGATGACTTGTGGACACACAGACAGATGGACACATGGACGGCCCAGGGCCCAGACACTGACAGACCTGTAGACAGACAGACAGACAGATGCAGAGGCCGAGGGACAGACAGACAGACAGACAGACCAGGGATGGACAGATGACCAAGACAGGACAGACAGACAGACAGAATGACAGGAGAAGCAGATGGACAGCCAGTTGGACAGACAGACCAAGAGGAGCCGGACAGACAGACAGACAGACAGGATGACAGACTGAGAGACAGACACACAGACCGACAGACAGACAGAGACTGAGAGGCAGACAGACAAACAGATGACACATGAACACATGGACAGACAGAGGGACAGACAGACAGACAGACAGACCAGGGATGGACGGATGGATGGATGGACGGACAGGAGAAGCAGATGGACAGCCAGGTGGACAGACAGACAGACTGAGCAGAGACGGACGGACAGACAGACAGCATCCCCCTGCTCCAGGGTTCACGCCCTCTGACCCCGTCCTCCCCCCCCGCCAGGTCATCTGGGCTGTGGTGTTGGCGCCAGGCCAGGCTGAGCAAGAGGAGCCATCGCCCAGGCCAGAACTGAGCACCCAGCACCCAGCACCCTGATACTGAGCACCCAGCACTGAGCACCCAGCAGTGAGCATTGAGCACCCAGCACCTGGATACTGAGCATCCAGCAGTGAGCACTGAGCACCCAGCACCCAGCCCGTAGCATTGAGCCTCAAGCAGCCAGCACGCAGCCGTGAACACTGAGCACCCAGCACCCAGCACCCTGATACTGAGCACCTAGCACCCAGCACCCAGCAGTGAGCACTGAGCACTGAACACCCAGCAGTGAGCACTGAGCACTAAGCAACCAGCACCCAGCAATGAACACTGAGCACCCAGCACCTGGATACTGAGCACCCAGCACCCAGCAGTGAATGCTGAGCACCTAGCACCTGGATACTGAGCACCCAGCACCCAATAGTGAACGCTGAGCACCCAGCACTCTGATATTGAGCACTGAGCACTGAGCATCCAACAGTAAACAATGAGCACCCAGCAGTGAGTACTGAGCACCCAGCACTCTGATATTGAGCATTGAGCATCCAGCACCCAGCCCATAGCATTGAGCCTCAAGCATCCAGCACGTGGATACTGAGCACCCAGCACCCAGCACCCAGCACTCTGATATTGAGTACTGAGCACTGAGCATCCTGTGTGCATGGAGCACTGAGTACCCACAAGTGAGCACTGAGCACCCAGCACCCAGCAGTGAGCACTGAGCACCCATGACCTGGATACTGAGTACAGAGCACTGAGCACTGTGCATGGAGCACTGAGCACTGAGCACCCAGCCCATAGCATTGAGCCTCAAGCATCCAGCACCTGGATACTGAGCACCCAGAACCCAGAACCCAGCAGTGAACACTGAGCACTGAGCACTGAGCACCCTGATACTGAGCACCCAGGACTGAGCAGTGAACACTGAGTCTCCAGCACCCAGCACCCTGAAATTCAGCACCCAGCACCCAGCAGTGTGCATGGAGCACTGAGCACCGAGCACCCAGCACTGAGCACCCAGCACCCAGCACCAGGCGGTGCTGGGGCCTTGGTCTCTGTCTGTGGCTAGGGCGGGGGGGGGGGGGTGCTGGGCCCGGCTCACTCGCTCTGTCTCCTTCTCGCTCCCCCCCCTCGGCAGGAAGCGTTGCCGTGGCGCCCGGGGGGAAGCTGAGGCCGCAGCCCTGACCCCGGCCAACCCCGCCCAGTGCCACTTCCTGCCCAGCTGCGGCCCGAGAGGCCCAGGGCCTGGGGGGAGGGGAGGGGACAGACAGATGGATGGATACAGAGACAGACAGACAGACAGAGACAGAGAGAGACAGACAGATACAGACAGACAGACACAGACAGACAAAGACAGACAGACACAGACGGATAGACGGACACAGAGACAGACAGAGACAGGCAGACAGACACAGACAGACAGACACAGACAGACATAGACAGACAGACAGACACAGACAGACACAGAGAGACAGACAGACAGACACAGACAGACAGATGGACACAGAGACAGACAGACATAGGCAGACAGAGACACACAGACAGACACAGACAGACACAGACAGACAGACGGACTACAGAGTCAGACAGAGAGACAGACAGACAGACACAGACAGACAGACACAGACAGACAGATACAGACAGACACAGACAGACAGACACAGAGACAGACAGACAGACACAGACACAGACAGACAGAGACAGACAGAGACAGACAGACAGACACAGACAGTCACAGACAGACAGACAGACACAGAAAGACACAGACAGACAGACACAGACAGAGACAGACAGACAGACAGAGACAGACAGACACAGACAGACAGATGGACACATAGACAGACAGACACAGACAGACAGACAGGGAGACAAGACAGACACAGACAGACACAGACAGACAGACGGACACATAGACAGACACAGACAGACAGGGAGACAAGACAGACACAGACACAGAGACAGACAGAGACAGACAGACAGACAGAGGGACAGACAGACAGACATAGTGGGGGAATAAAACCGAATCCAAGGAAATAAAGTGGAATCAAAGATCCAATTAAATTAATGTCATGTCAGGTGATGTATCACTCGCGTCACGACGCGTAATAAACATCTGCTCTCGCCGCTGCTAGGGGCCCAGAGCGCGCCGCGCACCCTGACCCCGACCCCGGGGGACGCAGGTGAGTGCTGGGCCGAGTCCTCCAACCGGAAGTGTGTGCTGGGCTGTTTGACCGGAAGTGGGTGCTGGGCCGAGTCCTCCTTGCCTGGAAGTGGGTGCTGTGTTGTATGTTTCAACCGGAAGTGGGTGCTGGGCTGTGTTTTGGCCGGAAGTGGGTACTGTGCTGTTTCAACCAGAAGTGGGTGCTGGGCCGAGTCCTCCAACCGGAAGTGGGTGCTGTGCCGAGTCTTCCAACCGGACGTGAGTGCTGTGCTGAGTACTCCAACTGGAAATGTGTGCTGTGCTGTTTTGACCGGAAGTGGGTGCTGTGCTGTTTTAACCAGGAGTGGGTGCTCTGCTGAGTCTTCCAACCGGAAGTGAGTACTGTGACACACTGGAAGAGAGTGCTGTGCTGATTGTTTTGACCGGAAGTGCTATGCTGTTTCACCCGGAAGTGGGTGCTGGGCCGAGTCCTCCAACTGGAAGTGGGTGCTGGGCTGTGTTTCACCCAGAAGTTGATGCTGTGCCAAGTCTTCCAATCGGAAGTGAGTGCTGGGCCAAGTCCTCCCAGAACTAGGTGCTGGGCCGAGTCCTGCTCGGAAGTGGGTGCTGGGCTGTGTTTCAACCGGAAGTGGGTGCTGTGCCGAGTCATCCCCTGGCTGCGGCTTCAGGTCCCGCAGGCCCCGCCTCCTGACTTCCGGCCACGCCCCCGCAGGACCTGTGATCCAAAACCTGCGCGTGGAGCCTGAGGCGCGGCTGCTGACCTGGGACATGCGCGGGCCGCGGGGCGCGTGTGCTGCCTGCACGGGGACGGGCATGCGCAGACGGTGAGCGGGTCCACGCCCCCCACGCACGCCACGCACGGCCGCACACACAGGCCAGGCCACGCCCACAACCCCTAGAGTCCAGACCACACCCACGAGCGCTGCACGAATAGGCCAGGCCACGCCCACAAGGGCTGCACCCATAGGCCAGGCCACACCCACAAGGGCAGAGCGCAGAGGCCAGGCCACGCCCACAAGCGCTGCACCCATAGGCCAGGCCACACCCACAAGGGCAGAGCGCAGAGGCCAGGCCACGCCCACAAGGGCAGAGCGCAGAGGCCAGGCCACACCCACAAGGGCAGAGCACAGAGGCCAGGCCACGCCCACAAGCGCTGCACCCATAGGCCAGGCCACACCCACAAGGGCAGAGCCCAGAGGCCAGGCCACGCCCACAAGGGCAGAGCGCAGAGGCCAGGCCACGTCCCTAACTGCTTCACAGAGAGGCCAGGCCACGCACACAGCAGCCTCACTCAGCTGCCAGGCCATGCCCCCAAGGGCATTGCTACCCTGATAGGCTGCGTTCCCCAGCATTATGCAAATGAGGCTTCCCCACTGCAAGCTACGCTCTCCAAGCCTCCACTCCATTTGCCTGCGCTAAACCACACCCCCCATCCTAGACTCCACTCCATTTGCCCTATCTAAGCCACGCCCTTCAGTCTCCCCTCCACTCCATTCGCCCGCACTAGGCCACGCCCCTCCACGCCCCTCCACGCCCTCTCTCTTACCACCCCCCCAGTCCTGGCCTAAATTGTAAAGTTCGTTTCTCAACATAATATCTTGTACATCCCATTGTTACAATGGGATATAACCATATTCTTGCTTCAGAATTTGCTCTCTATTATACATTATGTGTATTCTATCTATCAATAGGAAATGGTATATTGCTTTTCACATCTCAAGTCATATAAAACCTAAGGCACCGATCATAAGATTTTTCACTTACCTCTCAAGTGGATTAGGTGGTCCTAATGGGTGAGACATGAAGGCAATGTAAATGTAACTTCATTGGTTCAATAATTGTTATTTGGGAAAAACTGTATCTTTCACATGCTCACGTTATACATTTCTCACTTCATGTCTAAGACTTTTAATGAACAATTATATTGAAATGCCCCTAATCCTAGGCCATCCCAAAACAAAAGCTTTCATCACTCATGGTGGAGCTAACGGCATCTATGAGGCGATCCATCATGGGATTCCCATGGTGGGCATTCCTTTGTTTGGGGAACAACATGATAACATTGCTCACATGGTGGCCAAAGGAGCAGCTGTTCAACTGGATATAAGAGCAATATCAAGGAAAGACTTGCTCAGAGCACTGGAAGAAGTCCTTAACAACCCTGTGTGAGTATGATCTTGTGTGTGTATGTGTGTGTGTGTCTGTGTGTCTGTGTCTGTGTCTGTGTGTGTCTGTGTCTCTGTGTCTGTGTCAGTGTCTGTGTTGCAACCTTTTTATGCTATACAGGCCAGGAGTGCCTCAAACTTGTGGTCATTATCCTTCAACATTTGGAATGCTGAGATTCCACAGATCCACTTTCATTTCCAACCAAAACTTGTTTTGTTCCCCCAATGATTTCAGTGCAAAGGAATTATCATAACCTTGAGAATAGTACAAAGTTCTAAAAAGGCAAAGGGGACTGAAAGGTATCACGAAGAATGACAATAGATGATTACAAGGAAGATTAGGAAAGCAATGAATCAGAGGCATATGAACGTTTCCACAAATAACACTAACTAACCCATTCAGTTATAACTTTCTTTCCACCTAAGATCTCACTGGTAACTATTTATAACATAAAAATTCAGTGTGTTTGAAAAATAGAGTATGATGTGGGGGTGGTTGAAATTTTACTCTTGTGAACCACATGAAAATATCTGTCATTTCAGTTTCTAGTTTTTGTTGTTTCTTCAAAACAGTCTAAATGGTTTGTATTACTAAACAGCAAGACAATAATCAAATATCACATTCCTAGTATAAATGCTTCCTCAAATATCTATGTTAATGCTTAGATTCTATCACTGTTAACTAACTACAGCTTTTAAATTACCTGATTCATCCTGGTAGGAAAATAGAACATTTTTTTTTGAAATGTATGCATATTCTTAGATACAAAGGGACTATGATTATTTTATTCAGAACAAAAAAAAAATAAAAAAGAAATTACCTTCAGAAGTACAAGTGAAATGTAACTGCATGATATCTAAAATATCTGGAGCAAGAATGACTTGTTACTCAAATTATTTCAATAAATAGATTAATTTCATTTATACTATTATCATTTTCCTCTTATACTCAGTAATATTCTGTATATAATTCTCCCCTTTCACCATAACTGTAAAAATAATGCAGTGTATTTTAATTGTATTGGATATGATAGTACAGCAGACACATTGTAAAAGCTGTGTTACTTGATCTTTTTGGGGGGTACTAGGTCTGAACTCAGAGCTTAATATTCAGATGTTTAGCTTTCTTAAGGGCATTCTGTGACTTAAGCTATGACTCTGACTTTATTCTTTGCTGGTTATTTGAGGTAAATTCTGGAGACTTTTTCCAGTTTTGAGCTGTGACTGTCAGGACCTCAGCCTCCTGGGGTAGACAAGTTTACAGGCAGGAGCCATCAGCATCTAGCTCTGACTTCCATTTTCCTACAGCTGTCGGGCAACACAACATATACTTTGTGAGCCATATTTTATCTTCTTTTCTTTTGAAAGGCAGTGTATTTTTATATTTTTATTTGCTATAAAATACATCTCTCACTTACTGTTCTTATTAAATTTTGAACAGATACAATGTTGATACTGAGAGATACAGAAAATTACTTAACTAGATAATACATGCTAAATCTTAGGATGTAACACACATTTCATTCATTTTTTGATGCATTTCCTTTTAATTTTTGCCTGCTGTATTACAAAAAGGATCACCACTAGTCCTGGCTGAAGCTCACCCATATCAGTGAGTTCTTTTTTAAAAAATAGAGATACAAGTCACTTTACTTGCCATTGCAATACTCTCCTTCTATAACACCTTAATAATCATTCTCCTCTCATGCCCATTTTCATCTTACATACTGGAAAGAATCATTTCAACACAAATCCTATGTACCTATAATGTCTCAAAGAAACCAGAGCACCCTCTTATTAGATCTAACATCATAATACTAACAAAAAAAATAACAGCAATGTTAGCAAATGTCTTTGATTGTCTATCTGAAAAGCTGAATAATTAAAATCATTCTAAATATGAGTACATTACTTCTCATAATTATAATTCAAGAACTCAATTATTTCTATTTTTCCACTTCCTATCTTTTCGTTGTATAACAGCAAACAAATAAAAACTGAAACATTTCAAAAGAGGCTCATATAAGGAAAAGGCAAGTCATAGAGTAATAGTGGAACAAGTAAGTGAAAGTTCAAGAAATAAAAGGAAGGCTAGATGACAGCCAATGGCTGATGCCTGTGATTCTAGCTGTGATTCCAGAGGCTGAGATCTGAGAATTGTGGTTTGAGATCAAGCCAGGCAGAAAAGTCCCTCAGACTCTGATCGCAACTTAACATTCAAAGAGCCAGAACTGGATGTGTGTGTCAAGTGGTACAGTTCTTCCCCTGAGCAAAGAAAGCTCAAGGGGAGTGTGAATCCCTAAGACCAGAACAAAACAAAGGAGGCAGGGAATTTTGTAGTTAAATAATAATTAAGCAACAATAAATGATAAAGAAAGCCATTAGGGGAAAAATTTCTTAATTAAATTACCTATCTATCTCTAAATTATGACACAATTCTAAACTTTGAACAACAGATGCATTAATAATTAGGCATTTATATTGCTGTTGATTTTTTCAATGATTCTACTTTTGTCTTCAGAAATTCTTGTGTTAACAATATTTTTCTAAATGGTTAAATCCACGGTCATTAAGAAGCTCTTGCCTTTTACACTAACATGTCTAAAAATACAGCAGAAGGAAACATTCTCTTTTCTCTCAAAATTTTTTAGAATCATTTGCAGAAAATTTCAATATCTGTATTTTCTAGTTCATTTGATATACTTACATCAATTGGATTTGCCTTTAGCTACAAAAAGAATGCTATGTGGTTGTCAACCATTCACCATGATCAGCCTATGAAGCCACTGGATCGAGCTGTCTTCTGGATTGAATTTGTCATGCGCCACAAAGGAGCCAAGCATCTGAGGCCACTTTCCCACAACCTCGCCTGGGCCTGGTACCAGTACCACTCTCTGGATGTCATCGGATTCCTACTGGCCTGTGTGGCCACTGTTACTTTCCTTGTCTTAAAATATTGCTTGCTTGTTTACCAAAAGGCTTTGAAGATGGGCAAGAAGAAAAAGAGGGAGTAGAGCTTTCAACACCTCAGGGAATGGACTAAAAGCCTGTTAAGGAAGAACATCCTAGTGATTTTTAGCACAATCAAACTGGGAGAGATTCTCTTCCACATTTTACCTAAACCTATGCCTTTTGTATTTTCAAATGGACCTTACTCTTGATTAAAAATGAAGCAATGTACAATTCTAATGTCAGAGTTCCTCAACAAGTTCCATGTCACTGATTTATGTAGATAGTATAACTGAATCAACTGGGACGTATGGAAATTTGAGTCTGTTAGTTTGAGAGAAGCATAAAATCCAAAGTTTTATGGGCATTTTCAGAAAAGGAATATGTTAGTAAGACAAAATGAAATGAACTCTTTGCGTGTCTGTCCAAAGTAAAAGAGAGAGATAGGTTAAAAGAGGTAACATTTTATTCGGACTACTGACATATGGGAGAGAGTTGACAATAACTGAAGTAAACTTCTGCTAACTCAAAGCTAACCAAGAGTTTCTAAACATGAAGAGTGAGTGAGAGGAAGTGAAGCAGGGAGAATTAAAGGGAACTGCAATCTTCGTGAAGATAGCCAACTACAAAGGAAGTGAAAATTTACTTAAAAGGCCTGGTGTGGGTAGAAAAGTTAGAAGGTGTGCATTATTCATTGTCAGTGAGACATGATTATTGCTTTTGACCTATGGATACATTTTATGAATGTAATGAATATAAGAAAATTAGATATCATTGAGACCACGGTGGCTCATACCTGTAATATCAGCAACCCAAGAGACTGAGATCCGAGGATCACATTTCAAAGCCAGCCTAGGAAGGAAAGTCTAGGAGAGTGTTAACTCTATTAACCACCAAAAAACAAAAATCGAACTCCGTTTAATATGAGTACTAAACTTGAGCAAAACCAATCCAGACCATGAGTCGCTGAGTTCAAGGCCCATTACTGACATAAATAAATGAATAAAATAAGGGATCTGATGGGCATTGTGTTGAACATGTTTAATCCCTGTTTCTTGTTAAATGGAGACAGTATGGTGATGGCTTGATTTGAGTAAAGGCAAAACTGTATATGCTCAATGTTCCTGCACTGACCTAGCAAACATGAGACTGTCATTTTTATTCCTACTACTCTGCAATAAGAGGTGTTATCAATAAAACTAATTATGAAAGTAACATTACAAAAGGAAATAGATGACAGCTACTATTTATTAACACCTAAATTTATAATCAGTCTATATGGATACAAACACATATATAAAACACAAAAGTAATACATCTGTGTTCCTTATTATATTAAGTTTTTAACAGAAGAAAACTGTGCAGGTACTTTTTTCTGCACTAATAATGAAGCTCTATTGACACTATTCAAAGCAAGTTCTAGTCTACTTTTAATTTCTTCCTCAAATTATTATATATAATAAGATTGCCTATTAACATTAGATATACAAAGGAATATTACTCTACCATAAGGAAAAATTAAACTATATCATTTTCAGGAAAATAAATAAAACTGGAGGGGTTGCGAAGCTGGCTCAGTGGTAGAGTGCTTACCTTGCATGCATGAACACCTCATAAACAGAAAAAAAGCCGGAAGTGGCATGTGGCTCAAGTGGTAGAGCACTAACCTTGAGCTGAAGAGCTGAGAGACAGCACCCAGACCTAGAGTTCAGGCCCCATGACTGACAAAATAAATGAATGAATGAATGAATGAATACATAAATAAATAAATAAAACGAAATAATCAGGTTGACTGCTGTGAATCAAAATCAAAATGCCAAATACAGTATGGTCTTACTCATGTGTGGAGTGGACTCATAAATGATGATGATAATGATAGTATTTAGCAGACAAGATGAAGGTAAATTCAGGACCTTTTAAGAGGGGATTGGCAAAAGGAGGAAGAGAGAAAGGAAAGGCTACTGTGGAGCACAGAGGATAAAAGGACATTGAACACACACATCGATGACAGTGTCATGATTAAATGAACCAAATGCTACTTGAGAAAGGAGAGAGCATTGAGGGGAGTGAGAATAGAGTGGAAAAGGAAAATATGTTCCAAGTGCACAATGTGTATAGATGCAAATATCACAATCAAAGCCCTCATATTACAAAGAATTGGTAACTCAAAAATAAAATTCTACAAAAGAGCACAACAGATGCTAACCAGGTTATAAGGGGAAAGAAAACATGATATGGGAGCAATGCAAACCAGTGCAGCTCCTATGGAAATCAACATGGAAGATTTTCAAAAACTAGACATGGAGCTAGTGAATGACTTAATATCACTGTTGGTCACATCTCTGAAGTAATGTAATTGCACACTCAGACGTTTAATGCAGCATTATTTATTAAAAGCCAAGTTATGAAATCAGTTTAGATGACCTTTGACTTTTCAATGAGTGAGAAAAATAGAGATGTATCCATATATAAATATATATACACATATATACCTATAAAAGAAAAGGAATAGAGATTTATACATGTATATATTAGAATATTTTACAGAAATAAGAATGTCATATCATTTGCGAAAAAAACTGGGTAGAAATTGGAGATTAGTGCATTAAACACAGTAAATCGGGTCCTGAAGGACTAAGGTCTCAAGTTTCCTCTCACATGCAGAGTACACAGAGAGTATATCTATATCTATATCTATATCTATATCTATCTATCCAGTGTTATTATATGTATAGTATTATATCTGTATACATAATACCATATGTATGGTGAATATATCTATAACTACATATGATACTCTCTGCCTTTGTATATATGTATATCACTGTTTTATCACTATATATGTATATGTGTAGGTTTATAAAATCAATGTGCATAAGTGTATATATATGTATATATATATAAAGTGATGTAATTGTTGGACTGTCTCAGGGAAAGGAGATTAAAATGACAGAATGATTTAGTATAAACAATACCAAAATACATTTCCGATGTTTGAAGATGGAACATTGAACCTACTGAAAGCTTTCCACATGCAGGGGTAAGGAGTGAATAGGATAAAAGAAAAATGTAATTAGTAGAAGTTAATACAGGTTAATTTAATGAAAGTGCAGTACAGTACATGTGGATATGAAATTACATTTATATGCACTAATGAAAATTCTTGAAATTATAGATGCTTTCCCTCACTATACGAGGTGAAAAGGGAGAGAATGGATGAATGAAAAAGTAAAAGAAAATCATGACCAGTGTGGAGAGATTTAGTGAATTTTCTGGATTTCTGAGTAAACCTGAATAGAAGAGCACACAATGAAAATCTGCTAAGGGCTCCAGAACAGCAGGTAATAGGCTAGAAGCCAAATTTTCTTAATGTCTTATGTTAGTCGTACCTTTTCTTAAAACACTTATTTAGTCACCAGCAATTACTTAGCTTTTGCCTTATGGAACTGATTCAGATTACTTGCTTTAATTTTGCACTGATTTTTCTTAACACTCGTGAATTGCCTCTATCAATTCTGATTGACAAATGTTTCCCATTCTAACCTTATTTGACCTAGAATTACTAGTTAATTATTGCTTTTTTTAACCTTAATCCCATTTAGGCCAGGAACTCTAAGCCACTGACATTATGACTCAGGAATCTAACCCTTTTCACAAAAACAATTTTTTACTTGTCTGTAAGAAAAAAGAGAAAGTAGAGATTTTGCAAAAGTGATATTTAGAGCACATGCCTTGATCCTAGCTACTCAGAAGACTGAGATCCAAGGATCATGGTTCAAAGTCAAGCCAGGCAGGAAAATCACCGAAATTCTAATCTCCAATTAAACACTCAAAAGCTGGAGGTGGGGCTTTGGCTTGAGTGGTAGAGTGCTGACCATGAGCAAACAAAGAAGAGAGAAAAGCTTAGGGACAAATGTTCAGGCCTGAGTTCAAGCCCTTGAATGAAAGGTGTATTCTAAACTTCCAAAGATAGTCAATGAGTTTAATACATAGTGCTTTGCCACATCGATTAATGATATATTTTCTGGTTCTATAAAGTAGGTAAAACAAATATCCACCAAAAATGGGGCCCAAACAAAGTCACCACTGCAGTGCAGATTTGATGGAGGTAAACACTCAATAGAGCAGAATCTTTTCTATTGGAAGTGAAAAGTGAACAAAGCAAAGGAACAGGTATACATTTCCCTTGCTCCTAGGGTCCATTCACAAAATCACTCTTTAGTAATATTAGTTTAAGAACCATTTCCAAATCACACTGGCACCAAGTGTGGAACCTGGCTGCCTTCCCACATTCTCACTGAGGCATCTCTTCCTAAATGGAAAATTGACACTTTGAGAAAAGCCATGGCATTGACAGACTTGTCACATAAACCCTGTGCTTTTGGATACTGGAGTCAACACTGAAAGGTCTCTGAATTGATGATCTATGAATTTGTGCATAAAATACTGCACACACAAAATGGACAATTTTTGCCAGATTAACCATCACTAAAGTAACCATAGTCATATTAAATGGCATAGATACCTCAACTGATACTTCAGAAATGCAGCTAGAGGGATTATCAGAAAAAAACTTCTTAGCAATCAATAGGAAAATGTAAAACAACTAGATCTATTTCTGGACAGATAACCTACTAAATTGGTTTGTAAGTATGTGGGAAACATGGACAGACCAATAAGATATGGTAGAGATTCCAAGCAAAGAGAAGACTAGGACCAGCTAACTCCACTGCTGAATTGTGCCAAAGTTCTCAAGAATTAACAGTGTCTTCTCAAGCCATGACCATGCGGCATGTGTTGGAATATTTCCCCTTTCATCTTGATTTCTTCATTTGGGTCTCCCTTCTTGTTTCCTTATCAGTCCAGATAATGGTTTCTGAGGTATTTTTTTAAATCAGCTAACTTCTTTATTAACCCTTTGTCTTTCAGTCTGTAACTTATTTTGTTTCTGGTCATTGTTCTTTCTTGCTTCTATTCATTTGGGTTTGCTTGGTGCATTCTTTTCTAGTTTCCTGATTGACATTTGTAGTGTATTTTTTAAACTCCCTCTTCTTGTTCCTCCTTCGAGTTAAGTTCCCTCTTCTGTCTGTGTTTGCTTCATCCCACTTCATCTGAATCAAGAAAATGTTAGTTTCACTTTGGGTTCCTTAATTGCGAAATCCTTTGCTCAAGAAATTTTCTTTCATTTCTCTGTTATGGGTACTTTTAAATTTTTCTGTTTTTAAATTTCT